GGTGGTTCATCGAACAGATGTGAGTATAAGCACATTTTCCACCGAAATGTGAAATCCAACGGATTTAGTCCACCGTAAGACAGCGTTCGTGGCGGCTTTTAATTTTCTGCGGATAGCCTTCACGGTTCTGCCAACTTGATTGGGAAGATTGTTGAAAACTCCGTTCATCCGTATTAAAAACAACGTGACTGCGATCACAGAACCTTGTTGGACGCCAGTCTCCTCCGGGAAACCTCTGGATCTATGGTTACCAATACATACTTGAAAAGTACGATGTTGGAGAAAATTTTTCAGAAAATGAATAATGTGACCGGACAGACCCCATTCCGCAAGTTGGACAAGGATGTCAGGCGTCCATTACCGATTGTATGCCTTATCGATGTCTAAAGTGACTAGCTGTACGTGCTGGTCGGCATCCCTCGCGTCCCGAAGTACCTGATTAAGTGTGGCGATGGTCAATGTAGCCGTTACTCTCCAAGTAGAACACGAGTCTACGATTGACCATCCGCTCCAGCAGCTTACTGACACACCATGTCAAAGAGATTGGTCTGAAATCCTTTGGTTCGCGACTCGCAGCTCCTTGCTTAGGAATTGGGACAACTAGACTGTGCCTCCATGCTTCCGGAATAGTATTTCCTAGCCACTCGCTGTTGAGGAGGCTGAGAAGGGTACGTTTGCTTTCCAGTGGTAGATTTTTTAACAGATGGTATCATCCGGGCCAGCTGAGTTGCCGTGAGCCTTGGACAAGGCTACGTAAAGCTCTCTTGGCCCGAAAGGTTGGTTAATTTCCAGTGGTAGACCGTCCTCCGGGATGTGGAAATTATCCAGCGAATGCGTTGTCGCATTTTTTGTGCGACGGAAGTGGTCATCATATCCTTCAAGAGCCGAAAGAGTTGCAAAGTACTCCCCCATAGCATGTGCAATTTTGTCGGGGTCTCTGGTTATTAAACCGTCTATTCGAATAGCCATGCCACGGTACTTTCGCTTACCGCTCAACGCATTGACTTTACCCCATAGGTCAGAAGCCGTCTGTCCGGCGTTAATACCGTCGAGGAAATTCTCCCAGCTCAAGCTTTTGGCGGTACGGATGGTCTGTCTACACTCGTTCCGTTTAGCTTTGTATGCAGTTTGAGCCGCTTCCATCAATGGGGTGGTCCGCGGGCAGTCGTTTAGCTGTCCTTAAAGCCTTCCTTCTGGCCTTAACAGCAGCTTTTGTCTCAGGAGACCACCATGGTAACGACCTGGTTTCCGGATTGGGACTTGTCCGCGGGATTGATGTGGTTGCCACTTGGTAGACAGAGTTGATGAAATCCTGGATATTGTCCGGTGTCGAGTTGGTAAAAGTAACTCTAATAGTCTCCTGGAAAAGTGACCAGTCAGCCAACTCATATCTCTTCATATTTGAGAACCTTTTTCAAACTGCTATATTTTTAAGAACAACATTTGGTTTCAATATAATAGTCTAGTCTAGTCTACACACATACACAGCCAGTACTTGAAAGAATCCTGGAAAATGATACATCTATCATTTTTCTTGTCATTATTAATGCCTGCTGCACATCAAGGATGTGAAACAAACAATAAAGCGGCCAGGCCTACTGTGTAGCGTTTAGTTAATTTTTGTGGAAGTGAATGTTTACCATGTCTACTTAATAAGTATAGACAGTGGTTAACAATTAATCCACAGGTAATCAAAGAGCGGGGACATACCGTACCAACCGCTCCGTATGCAGGATTTGAAAATAGGCTATATAAATCGTTGGGAGTGACAGAGCTAAGAAAGTTAATGTACACTCCTTGGTTGTCCGATCTCCTGGGATGGAACACAGGTATTTACCCCTTGTGTTCGAGCGTACAGTCCTCCCTCCGTACAAGCGTGGACGGCACCGCCAACCCACTGCCATCCCTCAATCGATCCAGCCGACCTCAGTCGAAGGACAACAGAGAGCGGTGTGCGAACGTAACCTATACGGAGGGAATGCTGTATTCGCCTAGGTTATAGCGCCCTTGCTCGCTACCATTTTCTTCTAGCGGTTGGGACCTGAGCACTAACTCTTGTCCTAGCCCTATATGGCATATGGTTATAGCGCCATTACTCGCTTTCTGAAAAGAGAAGAAGGGAAGGGAAGGAGAGGAAAAGGACTTGGGAAAAGGAAATGCGGAATTCCTTTCCTCATTAGTATTTGTATCGTCAACTTTTATGAAAACTATATAAATCATTTTTCCTTGGTCAGAGGTATTATTACGACATTTGAATAAGATTGTCTTATCATTTGTTATTCAAAATTTAATGTTATAATGATCAACATAGCTTTGGATTATCCAATATAAATCGGTAACACTGTCCTGCAACCGATGATTTTTCTAATCCGAAAACTAAAAGTTACGAAAAAGCACTTAGGCCTTCATTAAGTTCCACTTTCACGCGACGTTCAATGTTTCGCGGTTTGCTCTTTACGCATTGTTCAGGCTATCATAACAAGCTATGACCGACGTGACGATTGCTTAAGCCCTGGTTAAACAAGTAAACAAGTTATTAAAATGAAATCATGTTCCCGAAAGCAGTCAACAATGTATCTTAAACCGGATCAAGCGTGCGCCCTATTTTTCTAAACATTCCGACGCGTTCCGCCCAATATCTATCAATTACGTTTTTCTAGAATAGTAGCCTGGGATAAATCCTAATTCGACCGACACGTGTTTGTTGAAAAATTATATTCTGCCTAATATCAGTAGTCAGTAGTCATTAGGAAACCTGTTACTATATTACCACATATGTATCCTTCTTTCATGAATTTGTTTTACGAACATGATCTAACACAACCTTTTTCTATGACAAAACTATATTCTGATAAAATTGGATCATTGCCTAGACCAACTATTGAAACTAAAGAACAAAACAATTGGCCACGTGTCTGGAATAATATTAACTTAAAGAACCTGAACTCAAATGAAAAATCTATTCCTAATTTACTTTATAATAGGAAAATTGATCACAGAGCTCATTTGTATCACATAGGTATTGCTGACAACCCTAATTGCTTATCATGCGGATTCCTCGAAGATCTTGAGCATATATTTTGTAAACGTTTTTCGGTCAATCAGTCATGGAACTATTTTATTAGACATTTACTAAACAGATTTGATCCTCGTTTAATGCGCTTCTTAACCTTTTCCAGTTTGATAGCTCCAACCTTAGAAGAGTTTAGCAGGGATGACAAAATTATGATTCTAAGAAAATTTGTTCAGTTTAGTCAATATATTTTGGAAACAGAATGACATATGATCTCCTTGCCTAGCTTCAAATTCTTCTTAGAAATAAATGCCTGTAATTAGTTTAGAATAGCTTAGCTTGTAAGACATGTTTATATGTTAGGATTAGAATAAAGATTTTATAAAAAAAAAACAGACTAATTTTGACACATTTGACTGATGCAATTTTTCATTCGTTCATTTATTGTATGTACTGTATGTATCTACAATCACACTCGTGTCTGGCAGTGGTCTGGCAGTGGTATTATGTATAAAATCTACCTGTATACGAGAAGAAGCGAATTTTGAGTTTGCTTAAACGGTTGTGCAGTTTACTCATAAATCGGAAATAGTTCAGGAACTCAGCGATGAATAAATTTGCTCATGTTTTTGCAGGATTTCCAGGAAAAAAAAATTCCCGAATATGAGAAAAGTAAAGATTGGATTCTCTCAGTCTTCATAGACTAAGAAAAACTTTGCCATTTTTTTTTTTAGTTTTTCCAACGGAAAACATGAGGCAAATTTACTCATCGCTGAGTTTCTGCACTCTTTGCGATTATGAGCAAACTGAATTCAAATTTAAGTTGATCTCATTGGCCGTGCGGGATAGTCCTGAGAATCCAAGAAATCATGGAAAAGCTCGCTCCTTAATTCTGGCGGAATATTTCCCCGTTTGAATTGGTCAATGACATTTCAAACGGCTGCCATGCCACGTGTGTTTGTTTACAATCTAACTCCCACTGTCTGGCAGTGGCATTATGTATGAAATAAGTTCTTATGAACGCAAGAAGCTTGGACCCGGGAGTTAGACCGTAGCTCAAATAGCCTCTAGATAAAAGATTGACGGGTATTTAGTAATTTAAATGATCGTCTCAATTTAGAGGGATAAGTCCTGTCCAATCTTCCTAATCTTGTATTTTTAAATGGCTGCATCTTTGAATATTTCCGGGCCGCAGGCCGCACGCTGGGAAGTGCTGTTATAGAGGAAAGAGGAACTAAAAGGCAAATAAACTTAGCTGAACGTTGCTGCGCTTTATTCGGAACGGAGGGCACCTCATGCAATGGAAAGGGAAGGATTTGATGATTTTCACTTATGCACTTTTCAACACAACTTCTGTACATTCAATTAACACTTTTTAACACTGAAATTGTAAATTTTCCACATTTTCACAAGAACGAAAACGACGCAGCAAAACAAAACACGTCATTTTCGCAGCGCTGCCTACTTCGATCACAACATTTGGTTTCAATATAATAATACGTAAAATACGTTTAGTACAATATAGTTCCCACTGCCTTATGAACGGTTAAAAAAACAATCTTAAACTTGAAAATCAAGCAATCAGCAACTGGCTCTAAAAGTGGATCCAAATCTATACCCAAGGTGTCTCCCCCTAGGTACCAGTGAACGTAAAGGTTAAAAACAATGACGGGCAGATAGGGAATAGAATAGAATAGGGTTCCACGCCATTTTGGAATACCTTACTTCACTTCGGCACATCCCTCTTAAATCAGTCTTTCGACAGCTCCGTACAATGTTTTTAAAGCATTCGTGAGCAAAGAATTTGATGCATGAATGTTGGATGTAACTGGTTTATCTTCATTGCTTTTGACGCGTATGACGGAATTGGGTCCCATATGCCTCCACCCTATCAGGATCGGTAAGTATTTTCGCGTGTAGAAACAATGCAAAATATATGTTTGATTGATTTTATTTTAGTCATTTTATCATCGATTCAACAAATCAGTTACTCTTTTTCTGCTTGCTCCTCCCTCTTCTTCTTTTTCTTCTTCTTCTTGGAAACCTCTACAACATCCTGCTCGACGTTCTCTACCTGCTCTTGCGATTCTGCAGCAGTCGCTTCCTCTGCATCTTTATGCTTTCGTTTCTTTTTTTTCTTACTCGGCCCATTTTCTTCCACCGGACTAGCTTCCTCACATGTAAGCTCTTTATCCTCTGCCACTTCCTTTGATTTCTTTTTCTTCTTCTTTTTTGTACCTTCGGTGTCAACAACTTCTATTGCTTCCACTTGTTCAGCAAGTTGTTCAGCAAGTTGTTCAGCAGGTTGTTCAGCAGGTTGTTCTTCTGGTTCAACTTCGATATGCTTCGACTTCTTCTTCTTTTTCTTTGGAGGATCTTCCACGTCGCCAGCTACTTCTGTTACTATCTCCGGAACGGGATCTGAATGAACATTACTTTCTTCCTGAACCAAATCTTGCTCCTCGTCGTTAGACTGATACTTTTTCCTCTTTTTCCCCTTCTCCTGTTTCCCACGGCCATAATCTCCGTGACCCATCTTAGAGAGCTTATCGTAGCTTTCCTTTTGCTTTTCGTGAGCCAAGTACACGTCATTGTACTCATCTTCTGCGCAGCGTTCGAAAACGGCAACAAACATTCCGATGGTTAGATCAGTCTCCGATCTTGCATACAGGCACTTTTCCCCAATTCCCGGATAATCTGGCGATCCGAAATTCAACCATTCTTTGCCCAGTAATTCCTTGGCATCCATCAGCTTGAAGTGGCCGTTATGCTTAAGAGCTCCCTGTACGATAACCTCATTTTCCTCCGGAAAAATGGAACACGTCGAGTAGACGATACGTTTCGCAGCTGGAAAAGCATTCATCGCGTGGCACAGTAACTTGTACTGCAGGCCGCCTAGCCGGTACAGCCGTTGCTTGTCATACTCTTCGTTCAGCTTCAACCGGCTCACCATTCCCGAACCGGAACAGCTGGGATCCAGTAAGATGTACTCGACACCCGGTGCCTGCTCGTCACCCACCAACAAACAATCGTCGTTGATAGTCTTGATAACACCGAAATCAGCCGCATAATCGCACAGAATCTTGTACCGAGTGGCGTCCCGTTCGACAGCGTAAATACGACCCTTGTTCTTCATCAGATTGGCCAAGTGAGTGGTTTTTAGTCCAGGTGCTGCGCACATATCCAGCACCACACTCTTCTTCGGTGGGTTCAGCAAGTAGGTTGCAAGGACACAAGCCTGAATGAATGAGAATTAGAATTAGCAAAAGTTGACTCAACGAACAAACCTAGATGACTCACCTTGTTTTGCAGAATGAACTTCTGTTTCAGTTCCGTGGCACGTGCCCAATAATTCTTGGCACTGTTGGGGAATATCAGCACTTCTTTGAAGTGAAAATCAACGAGAAATTCCGATTCGCCCAGATTCTTCACACGCTCCAGGAAATCGGCATACTTTTCGAATTCCTCGTCCAACAACACCCATCCTTCATCCTGCAGCAGTCTAATGGCACCCGGCTGAGCCAACACATTTGTATTGATGCGAACGTAGCGAGGTTCTGTTTGGAATAAAATCAACAGCTATTATTGATTTTCTTATTTGATCGCTGAAAAAAAATATAATAACCTTACCAAAGCCATGATAAATTAAATTCATAATCATTAAAAGTTCTAAAAGGGGAGTCTTATCGCTTACTTTATTCGTCCAACAAAAATCTACCTCACAGGTTAAGAATACTAAAAAATTTCACAATAAACCCAAACACGAAAATCATTTCGATTTCTTCAAATCTTCTTTGGCTTTAACTGCGGAGGCACCTTCTTGCCGTTTCTTCTCCTGCTCGTCTTCCTCCGCTTCCTGGAATCCTTTTAGTGCGTATAGCATGATGATCACGTTCACCACCAGCACCGCCGCCAGAACCGATCCGCAAGTGTTGGCAAATCCTTCTATATTGAAGTAGTGCGTCAAAATGTACCTCGTTCCGTAAAACGCGCAAAACGGAAGAGTGAACATCCCGAAACTGAACACCAACAGCCACAGCATTGCAAATGCTGACTGCTTTGAGTAGAAAGGTATCTCGTAAGGGTCGGTGGAAGCATCTGGCTGCGGGCTGACAGGTTCCGTCGATTGATCCAAACCCTTTTTAGTCATTATCTGTTCACCTTCCGCAGCATCTCCCGACGAGTTTAGAGCCGCTTTACTCTTATTTTTCTTTCCCATCGTACCCTGGAAACGAAAGAGAAAAGACTCCCCTTAGGACAATCGAAACGCGACAATTACCTTTGAAACCCAACAGTTTAGCCGGAGCTAGATCCAGCTCGCCGAGTGCTTGCTGCAGTTCATCCTTGTATCGCTTGATGCACTGAACCGGAAGCGACTCGCCATTCAACTCTCCCCGACCGAATAGCAATTCCGCTATCAAGACTTTAGCCAGCCACGGATTCAGGCGGGGCTCCTTTGTCAGTAGGTCGGTTCGCTTAAGCAGTTCATCGATCGGTTTTAAATGTACAAGGATCAAATCCATCATGGCAAGGCCTTTGCCTTTCCGGAGGTGCTTATCCTCGAGGATAAGAGATTTGACGTTGCATCGCTCCTCCACTACACGCCGCAGGATTTTCGACGCCGTCCGGTAGTTAGTGGGAACCGGAATCTTGTGACGACGCTGCTGATTCTGTACATCACCTTCAGTTTCAACTGCCATGGCGCTAAGATGAAAAGGAATTTGAAACTAATCGCTGAAGGATCGAAGTCAAAAATGCAAGCAGCAAAACACGTGATAAACCATCAAGACGGGGAAGAAACATGTCTACTTACAACCGGAGTATCTCAGTCAAAAAAATCAATAATCCTTTTCAGTCGCAGATTTTCGCATCGAACTTTCACGTTTTCACTTAAATCTTGCCACTTTCCTGATTTCCAGAATTAATTTTCTACGAAAAACATTCCGAATTTCCCGAATGCATCCGTAAAAAGCACGCGAACGCGAAAGAGTAATGAAATCAAAACATTATAAAATGTCAAATTTAACGTCCCAGTGTAAAATGAATGGAGACAATCTGCTCCAGCGGAGCGTGACAGGGTGATATGCAGTGTTGATGTAAACAAAATCTACACTGATAAATTAAACTATTCCCATTTTGCTTGAAATTTAATCTATTTGACATTAAACCTCGCTTAAACTCAGTTTATTCAAATCGAAAGATTAAAAATTAACCATCTGATATTAATCCCAGTTTAATCATGGTTGATTAGATTGAAGATATTTTTTGAATATATTATAATCATTTTTGATTCTATTTTAATAATTTGCTTAAAATTGAATTTAAATCGTTTCTGATTATATATCAGTATTGAAAAAGAATAAATTTTAATTTAATCATGCATGAATATACTGCCGAAGTAATCATGGCTCGGACTCAATAAAGTGAAGCGGCCGAATAGAAATTGTAATGTAGGAAACATCAGCAGACATCTTCAATACATTAAATTTTAACGTATATTGCTGTACCCTTAATGTATTCAGACTTCAGTGTGACGTCCAAGTACATAAAAATACATTAGCCTCAAACGTTACATCAGAATCAAACGTCTTGACGATGTAAAATTTGACATCAGAATACATCCAACGACAACAGAACCTAACGTTACATTAGAATCAAACTTCATCACGATGTAATTTGTTGCACGCATAAAACATCAGAATACATCCAATGACAACAGAACCTAACGTTACATTAGAATCAAACTTCATTACGATGTAATTTGTTGCACGCATAAAACATCAGAATACATCCAATGACATCAGAACCTAACGTTACATTAGAATCAAACTTCATCACGATGTAATTTGTTGCACGCATAAAACATCAGAATACATCCAATGACATCAGAACCTAACGTTACATTAGAATCAAACTTCATCACGATGTAATTTGTTGCACGCATAAAACATCAGAATACATCCAATGACAACAGAACCAAACGATACATTAGAATCAAACTTCATCACGATGTAAATTGTTGCACGCATAAAACATTAGAATACATCCTATGACACAACAATAAAAAGTGGCTTGCAGTGCAGTGATGCCTCCTATGCATAGTTTTGTGACATTATCAATTGCAAATAAAATTGAACTCTTTAGAAGAGTGGAAACGCTAATAAAAGTGCACTTAGACGTTGTATCGTCTTGACGCCTTCTGCGCACTTATTCTTCATTCACCAAGGAATAAGTGCGATGAAGACACAACAACAATTTAATGTAAAACCGCACTTTTATTAGTGTTTCCGCATTCCTAATCTCATAAATGTGCCCAATGCGCGATCCTCGACGCAATCATATAAAATAGCACATTGCGATTACAAGGTAGAGCTTACCACCATTAACTCTTGCACGGCTGACATAGCCTCAAATCACTGAAAGAAGTTTTGGTATGCCCTGTGGGCAATGTTTATTTGTATGTAAAACAATGCCCTGGTGACGTTACAGTGCAAGAGTTAATTAGTGTTTTAATTGATTATTATCGTTTCAATTGAAAACCGATTTTACTCTTGTTCTGTACGTTAAACATAACGTCGGCCATAGTGTGCTGTATACCGCATCCGTGTACGAATACAGCACACTATGTCCGACGTTATGTTTAACGTATATACAGAACGTTTTCAACGAGGTTTTCATTTGAAACGATAATATTAATTCCAAGGCAAACGAAGAAAACCATCTGGCCACCCTGCATGCATATGGTTATAGTCCATTCTATGCGCTCGAGTATTGATGGTGCGAATGTGAGGATAACAATAACAAACCAGCATATCTGGCTGAAGCGAAAGTGAGGATAACAAACTTCGCACTTGAAAATGGGATTGCGCAAGTGTGCGTGTTATGAACGACAGAAAGGTCAATGTCGTTCTCATTTTTGAAGTAAAGCTCTATACATCGCTGCTGCATTAGCGTATACTAAAATTATTCAGGGTGTACGTGTCAGATGAACGTTCCATTACAAACCACTGATGTTGACCTGTCAATGACTCGCGTTATTCGGCGTTTAATAATAGCTAAAATAAAGTGGAAGTGACCACGATGGAAATCCGATGACGGATTCCATTGACGGATCCCGATGACGGGTTCCGTAGGCGGATCCCGATGACGGGTTCCGTAGGCGGATCCCGATAACGGGTTCCGTAGACGGATCCCGATGACGGGTTCCATAGACATCCCGATGGGGAAACCGAACATGGATCCCGATGGGAAAACCGAATACGAGTCCCGATTGGGATTCCGTAAAAGGATCCCGATGGGAAAACTGAATACGGATCCTCCCGATGGAGAAACCGAATACGAATCCCGATGGGGAACCCGAATACGGATCCCGATGGAGAAACCGAATACGGGTCTTGATGGGGAAACCGAATACGGATCCCGATGGGGAAACCGAATACGGGTCCCAATGGGGAAACCGAATACGGATCCCGATGGGGATTCCGTAGACGGATCCCGATGGGGAAACAGAATACGGATCCCGATGGGGAAACCGAATCTGGATCCCGATGGGGAAACCGAATACGTATCCTGATGGGGAAACAGAATACGGATCCCGATGAGGAAACCGAATACGTATCCCGATGGGGAAACCGAATACGTATCCTGATGGGGAAACCGAATACGGATCCCGATGGGGAAACCGAATACGTATCCTGATGGGGAAACAGAATACGGATCCCGATGGGGAAACCGAATCCGGATCCCGATGGAGAAACCGAATACGTATCCTGATGGGGAAACCGAATACGGATCCCGATGGGGAAACCGAATACGTATCCTGATGGGAAAACCGAATACAGGTCCCCATTTAGTTTATTTGTAGCTATAGGTAATATTGGAAGTTGTTATTTCAACTAATACAGATATAAATCAGATCTTCGATGTTTGCTTACAAGTGAATTTTAGGGAAGAAAGAAAACTCAATAAGTAATGATAGGATGAGGCTGAACAGAAACTTTTTGATTGTGTATAGTGGGAGTTCGGATTGTTATGCAACTATCTGTATCTGGTAGGGGGATATTATAGCTTCTCACTGGTATCAGCTTGAGTTGGGTTTGATTATATCAGAATATACCCTGCATTATTATTTGTGTCGATAAGCATACATTGCATGGGGGAAATTTGTTTAATTTCGAATAGATACTGGTTGAAAACATCGAGAAAAAAATTTAAAAACTTCATAAGATTAATTAAAATTTTGAAATTTTTGGAAAGTATACATATGCTTACATACACACTTAATATAGCTCGGTAAAATCTCCAACAGCCGATTACCTCGGCATTTACTTTTGCTGACATCTCTGCAAAATATCTGTTTGTTAGCTGATATCTCAGCAAAATCATATTTGTTTGCTGAGTCTCGGCAATTGTTTTACTGAATTTCAGCAAAATAAATTACAGAACTACTTGGCTGTTGGAATCTCGGCGAAAAAATTTAAGTGTGAGCTTACATGCTTACATAGGGCTGCAGATAGCAGTGGTGGGGGAGACTTGGTGACTAATCCGATGAAACTGTCACTTCTTGAAGCTAATCTTTTTCGTATGTATTTCCTTCATTCTCTTTTCGCACTTTGTATATGACACCATGTATGTACATTGATATCTAAATTGATTCAATGATGTGCGGAGAGCTCATTCCGAATGATCAGTGGACCACCCTCATCCCAGATGACCATGGCAATGCAAGAAAATTTGTTTTCATTGGAGGAAGTATCACAACACAGGTAATTGCTATTAAATATTTTTGCAGACAGTGACAGATGGTGAACATGACGATCCAGTTAAGCTGTTATATCATAGACAAATGGTAAGTTCCAAATTCACTGTTGTCGCTGTTGCCAGTCCCTAATAAACAAATACCATAAACGAACTGTATCCCGGATGGGTAAACTATCCCACAAATGGTTTGGATGATACCCCGAACACGTCGTAAATTAATTAACCATCAATCGCAGAAACTATACGAATTATCGCGTATCTCTGTTGTTCATTACATGCCAAGTTAAAAAATAATCATATATTGTCGTGGAATGTTGTGGTTTTAAGATGCTCGATGACCCTGGAGGGATCGTTTTGGCTTACCGAGCAGAAAATCATAGGTTTGAACCCAAGCCCTCCCACAACAGAATAAACCGCCATCGCTAATCTAAAGCGCCGTAAAAATAAAAAAAATTATATGTATGTTTAAATAATTTTTAATTTTTAATATAAATAAATATTCTGTATTAATTAACAACATAATATTTCATGTTTACAAATGTAATCGCACTGATTTATCATAGTTCATGTGAACCAAAATTTATGAAATTTTGGATTTAGGTTCCATTTGAAAACCATTTTTTCAACCTATTAATATTGGATTCAGAGAGCCGCAATAATGGCTGTAAGCTCCAACTCGGATTAACTTTTAATACCGTCCCTGTTTGGATGATCTGCGATGTGTTTACATAGCATCGTGTTGAATAACTCTGATGTCGACATCAAAGCAGCCGGATATTCTTGATCGGGATTTAATCCGAGGATAATACCGATTGGAGCTAACAGCCATAAGTGATTTAATGAATTCGCTGATTGCGACTCTCTGAAAACTAAATGCACAGGTTTCATACGTCCAACTCATCCTTTGCAACGTCCTCTTGTAACTTAAAAATACAAAATGTCATCATAACCTATAATACTTCATAATTCCGAAAAAACATGTTTCCGCCCTAATAAAAAATAACCATAAACGAACGATAACCCAAATCATTGAACTATTCCATAAATGGTTTGGATGATACCCAGAACACGTCGTTAAGCAAATTAACCATACAATTTTTATTAGGGCGGGCGGAATAAGTTTCATCAAGCCTTATGATGGTACACAAGATGGGTCACAAGTTTATATAAAATTTAAAGTGTGGTTCGCAATCAGGGAAAGACTGAGATTTAAGAATTCTAATGTAAATTTTTCATAAA